TTCGGGTAAAACCCGTTCGGGTTTGGGTTGAATGGGTAATGAATTTATGGTCTATTCGGGTATTTCTAAAGATTCGGTTCCGATCCGGTTCGAGTATCGTCGGGTTCGGGTCGGTTTGGGTAATAAGCATGAGAACCGAAAAAAACCCGAAAAATTTGGGTCCCCATTGGGTTCGGGTCTAAATGGGTAAAATTACCCATAAACCCGAAATATAACTTCAATACCCGAAGTTTTAAATCATTGTACATGCTCAAATGATCAAATAAAGAGAATAGAACATCAAACATGACATCTAAAGACTAAATCCAATCCAAAATCACAAAGATGACTACTTAAGTCTTAAGTGTTAAGAGTAATTAAATCCAATCCAAAATCACATGACATTGGAATGTTCGGTGACGGTAAGGTCGCCGAGAGTGTCGCGACGAGGGTTTCCAGTTTTGATAATGAGACTCAAAAGGGGATTTTAAGCAAAGATTATCGAGGGAATAGGGATTCTAGAAGGAAATTAGGAAACTCAATCGTCAAAACTCAAAAGCTAGGGCTATATGACTATATAACTATATATGTATATACATATATAAACACATGTCTAAAAGCTTCGGGTTTATGGGTACCCTAAATGGGTAACGGGTATTCCCCGACCAGAACCGATACCCACGGGTAGAACAAAACTCTAACCAATGAGGTAATTTCCTAATACCCTAAGCCGATCCAACCCGGTTTTTTTGGTCCGGGTATCAGTTCGGGTATCGGGTCCGGTTTTTTTGCCCAGGCCTACTACTTTCATTGATCCAAAAGAGCTTTAGTTTAGAAAGTTAAAGATCCCACCAAAAACAAATCAGGATCCTACCAAACACATCATCCTACATAGATAACATCCTACAAAGTCAATAAGGACACAAAAGAGAACATAAATCTATCCTACTTCTTCTCAGGTCGCTAAACATCAAAGATCTCATCAGTCCAAGGGGACATAAAAAAGACAGGAGGTCTTGGAGCTTCATCGGATCCTTTACCACGACCCTTGCCTTGACAATTTTTTAACTCCAGGAGAACGTCCACGAGCACGGCCTCTACCACTTGGATTAGCTGCTGGAGCACTTGAATGCTGCGGATTTTGTGTGGGTTAACTCTGAGCAACTGGTGGGGTGGATTGGCTGTGAGCAACATGTGGTGTGGATTGGCTTTGAGCATTCTTCCACCTCTTTGGTGCATTGTTGATGCTCCAAGGATCGTCATCCTCCTCCTACAATTTTGATTACTCACTGCTAAAATAAAACAAAAAAATACAAATAGGCACCAAGTCAGAATACTTACTACAGACTTCCTTGGTCTTCCTCTTTTGCGTGGAGGAGCTGATTGCACAGCTTGGTTTTTGTAAGTTCCCTTATTGTGACCTATTTGCTTACTACAAGTCACAGTATATCCTTCTCTTATTAGTTTAATTGGATTAGTTGATGATTCACTTGGCTCCTTTATCCTATCAAACTTCTTAAGTCTCCCTCGCTTCTTCCTCTTATCTGGCACTTCAATTACCCCTTTGCCAGTTCTCTTCCATAGTCTTTAATCTCCATTGATAGGTTCTATGTTGTCTTTGTATATATGTAGCTTTCCATACTTTTGTTGCTAAAAGTCTATCAACATAACTACATAGATAACAAATATTGCATGAGGACAAGGTATGCCTTTGAGGTTCCACTGATTACAAGCACACTCTCTGGTCAAGAGGTTCACCCCATAGCTGCCACTACCGTCTAATACCTCATATCTGTTCTCACCACTTTTGAGAACTGAACAAAACTTGGCTGACTTGCGGTTGCCTTCAAGGATCTGCATTATCTTTGATGGGAACCTTGCCTTGCATTTTCCTATCTTGTCACATAGCTTAGCTATACGCTTCATGGATATTCTTCGGATTTTCTCAAGCATATGTATCACTAGCAGCTTCCTTGCTTCTTAATAGTTCTGTTGAAACTCTCGGACAGATTGTTAGAAACATCCTCACAACTAGAATGACAACTGAAGAAGGCTCTGCATCATGTAGTTGGATCTGTCTTCAACAAATCTTCTTGTGTTATTGGGTCATATGATCTCAAAGCATCCATGTTCCACGTGTAGTCCCTTTCTGTTGCACTGTATGCAATAGTCCATAAGTAGCTTTCATGGTAGTAATCACCATACATCTTCCTCCAGTTAGCATAAATGTGTCTAGCACAATGCCTATGTTCTGCTTGTGGAAGTAAATCAGCAACAACATTAATTAAGCCCTTCTATTTATCTGATATAACTGTCAAACGATTGCTTAAACCTAATCCCAAATCCTTCTGCAGTTTCTCAACAAACCAGGCCCATGATTCATTGTCCTCCACTCTTACTATTGCTCAAGCAATAGGATAAATCCTATTGTTTGCATCCCTACCATAAATCCTATTGTTTGCATCCTTACCAACTGCTGCTAGAATCTCACCCTTCAATTCACATTTCAAGAAAGCACCATCTAGACCAATTATAGGCCGACAACAGCTCTTCCATCTTCTTCTTAACTTCTCAAAGCATATGTCAAATTTATCAAATTTTTGCTTACCATTAGCTTGAGAAATAGTGACAATCTCTGTGTGAGTATCCTTATTAGACCTTTAAAGCTCACCCTCATAATCTCAGAGCTTTGCAAACTGTTGCTTTTATGTTTGTATCACCAAATCAAACGCTATTCGTTTTGCTTTTTGACATATCCACTTAAAAATTGATATCGTGTACCTCATCATAATCTCATCCTTAATGCCAGTCTATCTCAAAGTCGGCCTCCTTCTTGCTTCATCTCTGAATAGTCTAGCAATTACACCTGGATACAACATCCTAGCTTTACCACTGAAAACATGTGCATGAGCATCAACATATGTTTTGACTACCCATTTCTTTACCCGCTTATCCACAGAACAATAAATCTTCCATTTGCATTTCTCATGGCTGCATATAGCCGCCAGCTGTGTTTGACCCCATTTACACAACTTAACATCAAAATTTATGTTCATAACATACCTCAACAGCTGATCCTTGAACTCCTCTACACTGTTGAATATTTGCTTCATCCACAAGTAAGGTGGCTTATCCTTTGAGTATTTTGCTCTTGATATCTCCCTTTTTTCACGGTCAAAGACATCCCATTCTTCATATGTATCCATAGCAGGGTCAAGTCTCTTAGCATCCATGCATTGCCTCTCAAACTCTTCTTCATCTACTTCAGTTTATCCCGCAGCTTCTTCCTTAGTTTGGCCCGCAGCTTCTCCTTCAGTTTCCTGACCAACGTCTGCTTCTGGATCCTAGTGAGTTTCCTGACCAACTTCTGCACCTTGACCTTGGTGAGTTTCCTGACCAACTTCTGCACCTTGACCTTGGTGAGTTTCCTGACCAACTTCTGCATTAATTTCTTCATAGAAGGCACTAAACCGAGGATCAACGTCATCTTCCCTAACTTCTTCTACTGGATCAACTCCATCATCTTGTACTCTTTCTTCCTCAGCGGTTCTATCTTCTTCAACCTCTGCATCGGACTTCTCATGGTCTTCAACAACAATGTGTTCACTAGGCTCAGACAGAGGAAACGGTGTAGGTTCAGACAAACCTTGTTGGATGTAGACATTTACTTCACTACCAATCAAAGCTTCACTACACAATTGCCTAATCCCACTATCTCTGTCTTCGGGGATAGCTCTTACTGTATATCATACATCTATATATATATACATGTTCATTCATTAGCCATATATACTATATTTATAAATACATGTTTACTTGCTTACGTACAACTACATATACATTGAATATAACTCATGTTGTTAGTACTAATTCAAGTTGTTATTGTATTAGGTTAAAGTTTATCTCTCATCCTTTCAGTTAAAGCTGTCTTTCATGTATTTTCTTTGAATTTAGACAAAGTATGGGACATGGATAGAGAAGATGAGGCATTTTATACACTTCTATATTTATATACATGTTCATTCACTAGCTATAGGTATCCATATTTATATATGCACGTCTACTTGCTTATGTACAACTATATATACAGTGAGTGTTACTCATGTTTTTAGTACTAATTCAAGTTTTTATTTGGTCTTCGGTGATTGTTCTTAACCAGTATGGTAGCTCCTCTACGGCCAAGAACAATTGTTGGATCACCCGACTTACTAGAGATCTCTATTCACCGAGTTTGAAAATTGTAAATTTTCCAACTGAGCATACAAATAATTACATAGACGTGAATCTTATAATGTGGATGTCTAAGCACATCTTATATTAGATATGCACAACTGGAAGTTTGGTGGTGGACCACGTAAGAGTCAGTTTACCTGATGAGCATTTAAACATTTATTACATGTCACTTCAATTGTACTCTCGCGTCAAAAGTCAAACCCGTCTCTCCCACGTGCATGACCAAATAGAGACTGGTTTTTTTGTAAATATTGTGAAGTCCATACCTATTTATATTTTTTTTTACCATTGCTCTCCCACAAAAAACCGTAATGTCTATTAGCTAATTTACTACCCCAATATTACCTCTGCATAAATTAACTCTTTGCAAAATATATTTAAATATTTGATTTTCTACTATTTAGTCATTTACCATTTTTATAGACATATCATTTCAAAGTTATATTTAAGTTTTTATAAACACACATTTTAAATTATAAAGATATATTTCTAATTATAAAGACTTATGTCTGTCTTCCTACATATATTAAAATCTTTGATTTTCAACCATCTAGTGCTTAAAAGGTTTTGGACATGCATGTCATTTCAAATTATAAAGATATATTTCTAATAATAAATATATATTTCTACTTTCATAAGTACTTTTAAATTTTAAGCTATCCTTAAGCTTTCCTTATCTAGTGGTTAGACTTTTTTTTATAAACATATATGCATATAAAGACACATATTATATATATCTATATATATAACGACACCTATATGTATATATATTCACATAGATATCCAAAAACAAAATTAGTTGAATATCATTTGAATTATCATTTTAAAAAATGGCCAATATATCATCACCTTTGACACTCCTTTTCATTTTCTTATCTTCCATCATGATCAACCATTTCCATGTAATTAGTTCCAAAAAATGGTGTGTAGCAACTCTGAACGCAACAAGTACGCAATTACAAGGAAATATCAATTTTGGATGTAGTGCAGAAGTTGATTGTAGGCCAATCCAACCCGGTGGATCATGTTTTATCCCCAATACTCTTGTAAATCATGCATCGTTTGTGATGAACGCTTATTATCAGAGCCATGGTCGTACTAAAAAGGCATGTAGTTTCAAAAACACTGGCACATTTGCTGCTACTGATCCCAGTTTTGGTAAATGTGTGTATGCGTCTTAGATATATTTATTTGGTTTCGATATAATATATGCATAATAAATGATTTGGTGAATACAATCATCCATTGGTGAATACAATGCGTAACTAATTTGATTGTATACATATGACATGAAAAACGAGAAAGATCCCAAATGCACCTCAAAATCCAAAAAGAAATTATTTACAAAGACCATTCAAACTCAACAGATTTCTTCGACCACTCAAACCACGAAGCTCCACCAAATATATACCATCATAAATGTTCATAACTCACCCACTCCTGCAAATCCACCATCACATTCCTATTATTTTAGTCTCTATTAAAATAAAATTCTTAGAAAAGCGTTGTTTTTTTTTTTCATTTAGACAGTGAATTATCAACTTATGAGATCGTTTCACTCCTTAACAATTCCAGCACAATAGGCTCATCAATGGTTTGATGATCTGTCATACGGCATCACCTCTAGAGGTTTGCGCTTAGTGAATTTATATAGAATGAAAATCCATTAGTATAAACCATAGCTTTATATATAATGCAACATTAACATAAGAGGGCTTTTAAATGGGCTTATGAACTAGCTCGGAATCGAACTTTAAATCACCATATTTTCTTATTCTTCCAAGATCCCATATGTCGGCTTGGGCTTTAAATGGGCCTTATGAACAAGCTCTGGAGTGTTAGTGTTTCAGAGAAAGAATGATAGTAGAGAATGGAGCATAAATCTACATTTATTGTTGGAGTATGCTCCCGGTGGCAGTTTGGCTTATCGGGTTAAGAAATCGGGTGAGGATTGGAAATGTTACAGATATATTGCTATTTTCCTAAATATTTTTAAATATTTGGTTTTCTACTATCTAGTCATTTACCTTTTTTTTTGACATATCATTTCAAAGTTATAAAGTTATATTTCTGTTTTAATAAATATATCATTTCAAATTATGCTAATAATTTATCATATATTTCTAATAATATATCTATATTTTCTATATATTATCTAGTGTTTAAATTGTTTTATAGACATATATGTATATAAAGACACATATACGATCTTCTAAATACTATCTAGTAATATATATATTTCAATAATAAACACGGGATAGATAAATATGTATTTCTAGTTTCCTAAATATTTCTAAATCTTACACTTGTTACTATCTAGTTATTACATGCTTTTATAGGCATGTCTTTTCAAATTATAAAGATATATTTCTCTTCTCCTTATTATGCGTAAATCTTTGTTTTTCTATTATAGACAGATCATTTCTAATTATTCTTACCAACAAAAAAAAAAAACATTTCTAATTATAAAAATTTATTTCTTATTTTATAGACAAATAATTTCAAATTATAAAGATAGAATACTAATTATAAAGATATATTTCTAATAATAAAGCATACTTCTATTTTACTAAGATTTTAAAATCTTTGATTGTCTATTATCTAGCTAGTCATAAAGTATTTATAGACATATCATTTCTGATTATAAAGATATGTTTCTATTTTCCTAATATTTTAATTCTCGTACTTTCTTCCATCTAGTGATTAATATCATTTCAAATTATTTATTCAAATTCTATTCAAATCTTCAACTAGAATTAATAATTGGTATGTCTACAAAAATAGAAATGTATCCTCATAATTTGATATAGTATAGATATGTATTATAATATATATAGACACATATACACTCACATAGATATCTTAAAACTAAATTAGTTGAATATCAATTTCAAAAATGGCCAAAATATCATCACCTTTGGCACTCCTTTTCATCATCCTATCTTCCATCACGATCAACCACTTCCATGTGGCGAGTTCCAAAACATGGTGTATAGCAACTCTCACCGCAACGAATGCTCAACTACAAGCAAATATTAATTTTGGATGTAGTCAAGGAGTTGATTGTAGGCCAATCCGACCCGGTGGATCCTGTTTTATCCCTAACACTCTTGTAAATCATGCATCGTTTGTGATGAACTCTTATTATCAGAGCCATGGTCGTACCAATCAGGCATGTAGTTTCAAAAATACCGGCACATTTGCTGCTACCGATCCTAGTTTCGGTAAATGTGTCTATGCGTCGTAGAAATATGTATTTGGTTTTGATAATTAATTGATATGCATAATAAATGATTTGCTGAATACAATCATCCATTGCTGAATACAATTTTTTTTTTTTTTTGAACAAAGTTGATTGTATACAAAAGATATGAACATACAAAAATGCACCTCAAAATCCAAAATTTTTTTTACAAAGACTAGTACTTAGTATGAACATATTTCTTTCACCACTCAAACCACGTGGCTCCACAAATATATACCATCATAAGTTTGTAACTCAACCACTCTTACAGATCCACGATCACATTCCTATTATTTTTTGTCTCCATTAATATAAACCTTAGAAAAGTGTTTTTTTTACTCATCTCTTTTAGATGGTGAATTGTCAACTCATGAGATCGTCCTAGTCCTTGAAAATTCCAAAACAACAAGCTCATCAAATGTTTGATGATCTGTCATACGACATCACCTCTCGAAGTTTTCGCTTAGCGAATTTATATAGAATGAAAATCCATTGGTATAAACCATAACTTTATATCAAATGCAATATATATATATATATATATATATATATATATATTAAACGGAATTGATAAACATATTCCTTTCCGCCTATACTGTATGAGCTGATATATTCTTTGATGTTACAATTTTGCTAATATGTATACATTAATCTCATCAGTTGTATCATTTCATGGAGTTTGGGTCACTCTCTCTGTAATGTCTGGGTAGTGTATATAATAGGTTTAAACCCTTAATAAAGTCCGCTAGTGCACACTACAAATGCAGCAGTATTTAGGGATCAGACCCACTAAGACCAAAGAAACATACAATAGACTATATATACTTAGATTTGGATGTAACAAAATATGAGTTACAGAAAATCGTTAGAAATTTTAGTAATAAAATTAAATAGATATAAAAATTATTGACAAAGAATATTTGAAATCGAAAAATCATTAGGGAAATCCTATAAAACAGGTAAATCAATTATGGATGTATAAAAGTTCATTCTTTAATTTGAATTACTTAGGTTTAATTATCATGCTCTCGCACGTTATAATTAACTATGAAATATATGTTTGAAAGAACTAAACTATCGTTTGAAAACTTTAAGATCATAATTCAATAAACTCACAAAACACAATAACATCAATTATTGGTTGACTAGAGAAGTTTTGCCTACCTAATGATAGATCCATTGATTCTACACCACTTCTGGTGAATTGATGAATCGATTATAATCAGTAGTTAAGTTGGCTTAATTCAACTAAGCCATGAAGAACAATCAAAGATAGAGAACTAGATTTGTATAGCCTATTTAAATGAATTTCACATTAAATTAAACAAAAAAGATAGAGAACTAGACGAACAATCCATAAATAAAAAATCTTGTGAATTTATATAAACATCCCTTTGAAATCTCTAAACTCAATGATAGGACTACTCACACATCACTAATGTACATTGTAGAAGAAGGGATCAAGAGTTTGTGTAGATATTACCAAAGGTTTTTTAAATACTTTAAATCAAAATAATGAAAGAGGAACAACCTTAGAAAAACTAGAAAATCGCACAAAAAATTATGTCTTTACGGATACAGAGTGTTAAGTATTTATAGGCAATTAGCCGAAGTCCTAAAACTAAGAAAAATAAAATTTTGCAAAACCAATCTGTACAACTATGTAACCGATCGGTTACGAGAGATTTATGTACCGACCGATACAATTGATTAACCGTTTGGTCTTGATCTTGAATCTTTTTTTTCCTCTTGATGCATTTTACTCCATTTCCTCTCCTAAACTTGTCGTTTTGCCCAAACAGGTCCAAAAACCTAAAAACACTAAAAAAATATCGAAAACTATATGTTATCGACAAAAAGAATCGATTAATATATATATATATATATATAACCTATTCAAAATGTTAAAAATCTGAGTTAACACATAGGTACTTTTTGATCAAATGTTCTCTGCATTTGTGGCTAGAAATATAACGTTCAAATGATGTCTAATTGTTTGCATTCTGAATAGGATCGACGACCACCATCTGACCAGCATCTTTGTTGACATATTTTGCTTCACTTTTTGGTGCATTTCCATCTCCAATACTTAGGAACCTTGCAACACAATTTTCTTGTGTTTTTCTTAAAGTCTTGAGAGAGAAGACTTTGCAGAGTCCCACAATTATGATTGTCTAATTGATGCTAAAACCGTATTGGCTTGAGGTTTATTAGACAAGAATCAAAGTATGCATGTTCACACCTTGTAATAACCTGCATTAGTTGAGTCTATTAGAGTAATAACATAGTTGTAGAGCTTTGACAATTGCGAAGCAATACCATTGCGAATCCAATCAGAAATTGAAGTTAAGTAATTCTATAATTGCATGATTCTCTGAGATAACCTTAAAGCCCAACACTTTTATTTATAATTTTATTCCCAGTTGTTTACTTTGTTTTCCTTCTCACTTATTAGTTTTCGCATTTGTTTCACTTAGTTTTAGTTTAGTCATTAAGTTTATAAATCAAAACAAAAAAACCAACAACCCCTCTATTGAATAGTTATATCTGATTTAGTTCCTCGAAGTTTTTACTCCAATTGTCAAATCACAATATTTTCAATATCCCGAGTACTACGATTGAAAAATGGACACTTGCAGCCTATTATTGAGTTATGTTTGAGGTTAGAACTTGAGGTAAATTACACACCCTATCAAATAGCAATCAAACAATCCACGGACTTTTTTACCATTACCTCCCAAGAAGAAAATTCAGGGATATTGGACTCTATGGAAAGCTAAAAGAATCAAGATTTCAATAGAGGAAGAATAAACCCAATCAACTCTACCAAACAAAGTCTACAGACGATTGAGTGAAGCCGTGTCCGAGACCGGTTGTACGAAGTCCCTATTGGGACCGGTCACAAATCTCATGACCCGTCTGGAGCCTCATGAGGAGCACGGTTAGAGAGCCTCGTGACTGGGCTAAGCATCTCGCCTATTCACTTGATGAAACAACGTAGTTTTGCCCTAAAAACTCTAAACCGATTGTTTGGTCCCCAAGACTTATAAATACTCGTTCTAAACCATAAACCTTAGTGTGCCTTCTTTGCGCCGTGCAAAAGACTTGTGTAGAGCCCGCTGTGAAGCCTTGAAGCCGCAGCCATCACCTCTTTGATCTGAAGCTTTGAAGAACACCAATTCCTTTCTCTTTTCTCTTGTTTACTCTAAGATCTATTAAGGAGAAGTCTTACATCTTGTACTCAACAATCAAAGAAATAATCACTAAACCCTATTTAGTTCTTATTCATCTTATTTTTATGAGTTATCAAACCTAACTTTGATGAATTCTTTAACCATGCTAGAGAAGGGGGTCATGATCGATCATTTAGGTGGAAATATTTAGAGTTTGGTTTGATCGTTTATACTGTATTATTTCTAGTTACATTTTATCTTAATGCTTGTAGTTAGCGTCACGAACTAACTCTTGATCTCAAGTGTCTAGACCTCACAAAAAGTTGTTTAGTATACTCGAACTAGCTTACAAATGTGTATTGCGTTATAACCTGCGGAAGTTGAGTTATATGGCTTTATGGACTAGAATCGAACTTGATCTTCTTGTTTTCATATATGCGTCGTTGCCTATGAAGGTTGAGTAACAAAGTATAAGGATTTTAGCTGACTTTCACATGTAGCCTAGGGCTAGTCGATCATTAGTGTTTGGTATGTCCGCGAGTTAGAAATAAACAAACATAATCTTAATATTATCTAGTTAGAAAGATCATTGAACCCCCTTCGATCCCTTGAATGCCCAACGTTTATCTCTTTTTAATTTACTTACGCTTTTACTCGCTTTCTTATTTACTTATTTTGCAATCGTGACAACAACAACATACCCCCTTTTATTGACTTGTCCTACCTTTACTCTCTTCTGACGGATTCTTTTAAACTTCTTTCTCTCTTTGTAGAATTCGATCCTTAAATACTACAAGCGATCGCTGTGCACTTGCAGCAGTTGTGTAATCTTTTAAGGTAAAAGATTGAAGCAAAATATCACACGCATCATACGCCTCAATAAACTTTCCCAACTATGATTCAAAATACAGTCAATTGGGACTTTGGGTTGCCTTACTCCATGTAAGTGGGAAGCTTTACTTTTTGAAAGTCTTGGATCGAAGGTGAAAACGATGTTTTATCGTCTTCTGAATCAGAAGATCTCTTTCGGTCGTCAAGCTTATCGCTTTAAGAAGCTTTGAGCCAATAGATCAGAGTTCTTCGTGAATGAGCGTTACATTAGGACAATGACCTGAGGTAGCGCATGATTCCCCACAGGTTGCCAGGTTGGAGGCTAATGAAAATCATTATCATTGACAATGTTCAGATTAAAGATTTTGGACCTCAGTTTCTTACAGCGTTTCATAGTGCATGATTCCCCACGGGTTACCAGGTTGGAGGCTGATGAAAATCATTATTATTGACAATGTTCAGATTAAAGATTTTGGACCTCAGTTTTTTACAGCGTTTATGTATTGTTGTTAGTAGGTGCACCATCGGGTGGTGGCATAGAAGGATTTATACCTGTTGGGATTTGAAATTGTAATTCTTGGATCTCCTCAATCAGAAGATTGATTCTTGGCGTTGAGCTTATCGATTGATGAAGCTTGGAGCCAATAGCTCCTAGAACTTTGTGAATATTCAATTTTGCTATAGTTTTAGATATAGTTAATAAGATTATTCCATTTTTATTGTATCATTTGGCCTTTGACAACATTAAGATAGGAGGGGTTTAAATGGGCTTAGGAACTAGCTCGGAATAGAACTTTAAGTCACCTTATTTTCTTATTCTTCCAAGATCCCATAGGTCGGATTGGGCTTTAATTAAATGGGCCTTATGAACAAGCTCTGGAGTGTTAGTGTTTCAGAGAAAGAATGATAGTAGAGATGGAGCATAAATCTACATTTATTGTTGGAGAATGCTTCTGGTGGCAGTTTGGCTTATCGGGTTAAGAAATCGGGTGAGGATTTGAAATGTTACTGATCTATTGCTATTTTCCTAAATATCTTTAAATATTTGGTTTTATACTATCTTGTCATTTACCTTTTTCCTTGACATATCATTTCATCGTTATAAAGTTATATTTATGTTTTTATAAACATATCATTTCAAATTATACAAATATATTTTTAATAATATATCTATATTTTTATTTTCATAAGTATTATCTTTGGCTTTCTATATATTATCTAGTTGTTAAATTTTTTTTATAGACATATATGTATATAAAGACACATATACTATCTAGTAATATATATATTTCAATAATAAACACGGGATAGATAAATATATATTTCTAGTTTCCTAAATATTTTTAAATCTTACAATTTTTACTATCTAGTTATTACACGTTTTTATAGGCATGTATTTTCAAATTATAAAGATATACTCCCTCTGTATTTGAAAAAATGTCGTTTCAACTGTTTTTGGGTGAATTAAGAAAGGGCATAGAATTACAAAACTAACCTTATGAGAAACGATTATTTACAATTATATTTTTGGTATATGTAGTTTTGGTAATTTAGACTGATTAATTATGATCAATTAATTGGGGGTAATTTAGGAAATTTTATGCAAAAGTTGTTAAAATGACAACTAATTAAAAACACAGAAAAAAGGCTAGAACGACATTTATTCAAATACGGAGGGAGTATTTCTCTTCTCCTTATTATGACTAAATATTTGTTTTTTTACTACTAATTTATTATAGACATATCAATTCTTATTATAAAGATTTATTTCTTATTTTATAGACAAATAATTTCAAATTATAAAGATAGAATACTAATTATAAAGATATATTTCTAATAATAAAGCATAATTCTATTTTACGAAGATTTTAAAATCTTTGATTGTCTATTATCTCATACTTTCTTCTATCTAGTGATTAAATTTTCTTATAGACATCATTTCAAATTATTTATTCAATTCTATTCGAATCTTCGACTAGAATTAATAATTGGTATGTCGACAAAAATAGAAATATATCCTCATATTTTGATATAGTATAGATATATATTCACATAGATATCCAAAAACAAAATTAGTTGAATATCATTTGAATTATCATTTTAAAAAATGGCCAATATATCATCACCTCTGACACTCCTTTTCATTTTCTTATCTTCCATCATGATCAACCATTTCCATGTAATTAGTTCCAAAAAATGGTGTGTAGCAACTCTGAACGCAACAAGTACGCAATTACAAGGAAATATCAATTTTGGATGTAGTGCAGAAGTTGATTGTAGGCCAATCCAACCTGGTGGATCATGTTTTATCCCCAATACTCTTGTAAATCATGCATCGTTTGTGATGAACGCTTATTATCAGAGTCATGGTCGTACTAAAAAGGCATGTAGTTTCAAAAACACTGGCACATTTGCTGCTACTGATCCCAGTTTTGGTAAATGTGTGTATGCGTCTTAGATATATTTATTTGGTTTCGATATAATATATGCATAATAAATGATTTGGTGAATACAATCATCCATTGGTGAATACAATGCGTAACTAATTTGATTGTATACATATGACATGAAAAACGAGAAAGATCCCAAATGCACCTCAAAATCCAAAAAGAAATTATTTACAAAGACCATTCAAACTCAACAGATTTCTTCGACCACTCAAACCACGAAGCTCCACCAAATATATACCATCATAAATATTCATAACTCACCCACTCCTGCAAATCCACCATCACATTCCTATTATTTTAGTCTCTATTAAAATAAAATTCTTAGAAAAGCGTTGTTTTTTTTTCATTTAGACAGTGAATTATCAATTTATGAGATCGTTTCACTCCTTAACAATTCCAGCACAATAGGCTCATCAATGGTTTGATGATCTGTCATACGGCATCACCTCTAGAGGTTTGCGCTTAGTGAATTTATATAGAATGAAAATCCATTAGTATAAACCATAGCTTTATATAGAATGCAACATTAACATAAGAGGGCTTTTAAATGGGCTTATGAACTAGCTCGGAATCGAACTTTAAATCACCATATTTTCTTATTCTTCCAAGATCCCATAAGTCGGCTTGGGCTTCAAATGGGCCTTATGAACAAGCTCTGGAGTGTTAGTGTTTCAGAGAAAGAATGATAGTAGAGAATGGAGCATAAATCTACATTTATTGTTGGAGTATGCTCCCGGTGGCAGTTTGGCTTATCGGGTTAAGAAATCGGGTGAGGATTGGAAATGTTACAGATATATTGCTATTTTCCTAAATATTTTTAAATATTTGGTTTTCTACTATCTAGTCATTTACCTTTTTTTTTGACATATCATTTCAAAGTTATAAAGTTATATTTCTGTTTTAATAAATATATCATTTCAAATTATGCTAATAATTTATCATATATTTCTAATAATATATCTATATTTTATTTTCATAAGTATTTTAAAATCTTTGGCTTTCTATATATTATCTAGTGTTTAAATTGTTTTATAGACATATATGTATATAAAGACACATATACGATCTTCTAAATACTATCTAGTAATATATATATTTCAATAATAAACACGGGATAGATAAATATGTATTTCTAGTTTCCTAAATATTTCTAAATCTTACACTTGTTACTATCTAGTTATTACATGCTTTTATAGGCATGTCTTTTCAAATTATAAAGATATATTTCTCTTCTCCTTATTATGCGTAAATCTTTGTTTTTCTACTATAGACAGATCATTTCTAATTATTCTTACCAACAAAAAAAAAACATTTCTAATTATAAAAATTTATTTCTTATTTTATAGACAAATAATTTCAAATTATAAAGATAGAATACTAATTATAAAGATATATTTCTAATAATAAAGCATACTTCTATTTTACTAAGATTTTAAAATCTTTGATTGTCTATTATCTAGCTAGTCATAAAGTATTTATAGACATATCATTTCTGATTATAAAGATATGTTTCTATTTTCCTAATATTTTAATTCTCGTACTTTCTTCCATCTAGTGATTAATATCATTTCAAATTATTTATTCAATTCTATTCAAATCTTCAACTAGAATTAATAATTGGTATGTCTACAAAAATAGAAATATATCCTCATAATTTGATATAGTATAGATGTGTATTATAATATATAAAGACACATATACACTCACATAGATATCCAAAAACCAAAATTAGTTGAATATCAATTTTAAAAATGGCCAAAATATCATCACCTTTGGCACTCCTTTTCATCATCCTATCTTCCATCATGATCAACCACTTCCATGTGGCCAGTTCCAAAACATGGTGTATAGCAACTCTCACCGCAACAAATGCGCAACTACAAGCAAATATTAATTTTGGATGTAGTCAAGGAGTTGATTGTAGGCCAATCCGACCCGGTGGATCCTGTTTTATCCCTAACACTCTTGTAAATCATGCTTCGTTTGTGATGAACTCTTATTATCAGAGCCATGGTCGTACCAATCAGGCATGTAGTTTCAAAAATACCGGCACATTTGCTGCTACCGATCCTAGTTTCGGTAAATGTGTATATGCGTCTTAGAAATATGTATTTGGTTTCGATAATTAATTGATATGCATAATAAATGATTTGGTAAATACAATCATCCATTGGTGAATACATTGCGTAATTAGTTTGATTGTATAAAATTTTTTTTGTTATGAAAATACCAAAATGCACCTCAAAAGCCAAAAAATATTATTGACAAAGACTAGTCCTTAGTCTGAACATATTTCTTCCACCACTTAAACTACGAGGCTCCAACAAATTAAATATATACCATCATAAGTTCGTAACTCAACCACTCCTGCAAATCCTCGATCACATTCCTATTATTTTTTGTCTCCATTAATAAAAAACTTTAGAAAAGTGGTTTTTTTTTAGATGGTGAATTTTCAACTCATGAGACCGCCCTAGTTCTTGAAAATTCTAGAAAATGAGCTCATCAAAGGTTTGATGATATTTGTCATACGGCATCACCTCTCGATGTTTGCGCTTAGCGAATTTATATAGAATGAGAATCCATTTGTATAAACCATAACTTTATATAGAATGCAATATATATATTAAACCGAATTGATAAACATATTCCTTTCCGTCTATACTGTATGAGCTGAGATATTCTTTAATGTTCCAGTTGTGCTAACATGTATACATTAATCTCAGAAAAATTTACTGAGATGTTATAGAAAAGTATGTTTATTATTAGAATATCATATATCTTTTAAATATTACTCATATGTTTTGAGCATTTGTGTAATTACAATTAACACCCTTCATTAGTTTTTTTTTTAATTAATAATTTTTAATTCGTTTTTAATTAAAAATAATAAATAAAAATTTGATTATTCATGTCATTAATCCACATCACCAATCTCACACTCCTCAAACTCACGTTATTTCTCCTCTTTTCTTTTTTTGTCTCCAAATCCAATAAAAGCTTTTAGATCTAATAATCTGCAACTAACTTGGGTACAACATTGACAGAGATCTTCAAATTGCAGGATTGGGCTGGATCTTCCTAGACCTCACAGCCACAACGCTTGCCATAGGGTCCCAAATCAAAAGCTTCATCAGATCTACTCGCAACCTCGCTCACGAAAAATGTCATCAAAAATCAAAACCCAAATCAAAGAGATCTATGGAATTCTACATGATTCGTTACAGGTTTGAGTTGAAATCAAGAATAGCTACTCTTTTACTTTGATTTTACATGTCTCTCGTTTAATCTTCCTCTCAATCGATCTATTTGGAGACATTTCTTCATCTATCTATGTTTTGATTCATACGGTTTAGTCTTCCTCCTATGTTTCCTTCAAACATATTTTTACGAATCTTAATTTGATTGTTGTTATTTGACCAATAAATTTCATATTGTCTTCTCCAAAAAATGTTGATTTCCGATCTGTATTATAAATCAGCCGTAAAGTGATGTAACTCAGCCGTAACGTGATGTAACTCAGCCGTAACATATAATTTACACAACCTTTTGTCTTCCCTGAATGATAACTCAGCCGTGACATGTAATTTACCGAACCTTTCGTTTTCCCTGAGGCATATAACTCAGCCGTAACATATAATTTACACCCATCTTTCGTCTTTCCTGGAGAATATAACTCAGCCGTGACATGTAAATATACCGAACCTTTCGTCTTCCGTGGAACATATAACTCAGCCGTGACATGTAAATTGACCGAACTTTTCGTCTTCCCTTAAGCATATAACTCAGCCATGACATGTAAATTTGCCGCGAAATAATAAGAGACGCAACATTTCGTCTAACTTTATCATCGAGCACCAACTTCACAAGTTTTTCGTGCGTTTTTTCTGCATCTATCTGCACAACTCTACACCCTCTTTCATCGGTGTTAAATACATATTTGTGTTTCTATACCCAATTACCGGAACCGGATCAACCATATCAAGAGAAGGATGAAAGAAATTGAAGAAGAATGAGGAAGACGATGAGAAATTGGAAGTTCCGGTGATGTGAAAAACTCAGGTGAAGAAGACGAGTTGAAAAAATTTGGCCCTATTTTTTTGTCCTTTAATGATGATGACATGGAATGATGACATGGAATGTTGCATCCACGTCATTTTTTAATTGATGAAGTGGCAAGTAAGCCACCAAACAAAAATGTAAATCAGCTTAATTAAACCAGCCATCAAACAAAACTTTAACTCGGTCGCAACATGAATACTATTACAGTAAATAAAAAACGAAAAAAACGGCAGCCAAATTCAGCCGTTTACTGTCGTAACTCAACCAAAAATATTTAACTCAGCCGTGTCGTTTAATAAGTCGGCCGTCATTGCATGCTATTCTAGTAATTAATCTTTCGCTACTAAGTCAACCGTAATAAGGCCGAGTTTTCCGTTAATCCAGCTCATTACGGCTGATTTATGACACTCGAACATAAATCAGCCGTAACATCATCCCATAACTAAGCCGTCTTTGATAACTCAGCCAGCCGGAGAAAGTTAAGTCAGCCGTGTCGAAGCAATAACTCAGCCAAAAATTTGACAAATCAACCATCGGGTGAAAACTCAGCCGTAACTTAGGCTGGGTTATGCTCGAAAGTCAGCCATTTTATCATAACTCAGACAGATTTCAGTAAGTTAGCTGTAACTCTAGGCTGGGTTATACTCGTAAGTCAGCCGTTTGCTCATAGCTCAGCCATTTTTCTTAAATCAGCCGCAACATACCGTAACTCAGCCGTCACTGCCGCTATATCGCTTGACGGCTGAATTCATTAATACACGTCAGCGATTTCTGACGTGGCAATGCGGCTTTGCTGATGTGGCAGTGGCATTCTTTGTAACTACGTTTTTTCCTGTAACGTTTAACAGGGGCACGTTGGGTATAAAAAATATACCCGAAATATGATAGTAATAAAAAAAAGATCTGTATGTTTCTGGTAATTTCATATAAAATGTTATACATCTGAGTAAAGTTCCCTTAATCTCATCAGTTGTATCATTTCGTGGAGTTAGGGTCGCTCTCTCTGTAATGCCTGGATAGTGTATATGATATAAACCATAACTTTATATAGATAAATATATTCCTTTCCACGTATAGTGTCTGAGCAGAGATATTCCTTTGATGTTAATGGCAGTTGTGCTAACATGTATACATTTATCTCATCAATTGTCTCATTTCATGGAGTTAGGATCCCTCGCTCTCTGTAATGCTTGTAGAGGTTGTTTTTGATAAATTGTTCTCTCCATTTGTGGCTTGAAATATAACATGCAAAATTGCAAATGATGTCCAATTGATTGCATTATGAATTTAGGATCAACGACCACCATCTGAACATAATCTTCGTTGATATATTTTTCTTCACTTGTGGGTGCATTTCCATCTCCAACTTTTAGCAGCCATGCAACAAAATTTTCTTGTGATTTTCTTAAAATCTTGAGAGAGAAGACTTTGCAAGAGTCCCACAAGTATGATCGTCAAATGTATCTAAGACCGTATCGGCTTGAGAATCTTGTGGAATAATGATGTGTGTGATTTTTCACCTCAAGGTTGTACCTTAGAAACCATACGAAAAGTTGCAAGTCCACAACTAATCTTATGTGTATTTAAGGATTGATCCCACAGAAAGATAGAGAATGCGTTACGAACACTACAAGAAAAATCCACATTCTTAACACGACAGAAGTGCTATAATACGTCATTCATAGCGTTTTCATAAACGCTGTTTCTGCCCCAGTTATTATAGACCCCCCACATACGATAGCATTTTCGGTATGTTATGGTAAACGCCTACATACGATAGCATTTTCATACTATTGCGCTAATCAAACGCTATAATATACTTTATTGTAAACCAAATTTAGTGCTATTTTATATAATGTCGTAGATTTTTTTTTCGCTAAATACATTTAATTTGATTTATAAAATAAATTTTATATTGGAACCCAATTTTGTAAAATTTACTTAATTGAACACATATATATATAACTTTTATTACATTAACCAAACAAGTCATACATAACATCATATTAATAAGTCTTATACTAATTACTAAAATGCTGCCTATTCTTAAACAAACTAAAACTAACATCCTAAGGAGAAAATAAAAAAACTTCTTAACGCCTTCAAAATCATCATCTTCTTATACTAGCTTCTTTATACCCGTGGAATGTGTTATCTCGTAACTAAGCCTCACAACATTCTTATCACATGACGAAAACAAGTCTTTGAAACCATCCTCTCTCTCTTAACCTGTTTTACAATAAAACAAAGCAAATGAAACCAATACAGTCAACAACGTTCATGGACTGAAAGTAAACACACCTCAAATTCTGCAAATTGCTTCAAAATTTTCTTGCCAAAGCTCAGGAGCAACTCTTCCAATGGTCTCTCTAGCAAAAGACCTGCCTCCACCCTTGAAAATAATAACGCTTAAGGTAAGTCTACATAAAACCTTACCAAGAAAAAGTAGCATATAAATAAGTTAAAGAAAAGACTGAGACGCGGATAGCATCTGAAAAACTATTATCTTTTCCCCTACTCTCAATCACCTATCACACCATAGAGATTGTATCAGATTAAAAACTTTAAAATTTAGAAGGTTCTGTTGATAGCTTATGCATACCATTCTGAAGATGGTGTGAGATCTGCTACTATGAACATTCATGTTTGTCTCGCCAAAGTGCCTATTAACTGTTAATTGAACAAGACCAAGTCAATACACATTAGACATAAAAAATGCAGGAAAAAAAATACTTCTTAGTAAAGCTTTGCCTTTAAAAGCTTATCCAGAATCTATAAACATTAAAATCTGTTCAGCGTCATTAACAATTTCTTCTTTAAGACCAGCAACAAATACTCCACGTTGTACATCAATCTGTTCAGTGTCACTAACAATCATCATCTTCTTAGAAGATAAAAAACTTAGAGAAATTAATAAGCAACTTAGAATATCAGCAGCTCTTGTCTATATATATATATACCAAGAGAACATAAGGACATGATTTTGTGGACCAAGAGAACATAAGGACATCGAAATCATCAACATGATGAGTTAAAATGCTCTTTCAGGTTATATCAAAGAGCAAGATAAAGTTAAAGTTTTGTATAAGAGTTAAAACTCTAGCAATCCGAAATCATAGACCAACACAACAATCAATTTGAAACACATACAGAGATAACAATATCAATTCAAGCAGTTCCTGATCTTGCGAAAGATCAACACTTTACGTCAATTAAACACAACAGTCTACTCTACTTAGGATCATACTTGCATAATCAGCTTAGTGGTCCATAGAGGCAGATTATTACACTTTCATCTACTTAGGATAATACATTCTCAGTTAATATACCCAATGGAACCTAAATATAAAGAAGGGGACAATGAAGCTTAAAAACTACACGAGCTAAAGAAGAAACTAACTTACTTCCATAATGGTGAACACCAACTTTAGCAAGCATTGCGTAGTACTCAATCTCTGATCTTCTCAATGGTGGGCAATTGTGGAGATTGCAATAATCTTCCCTGTGAACAAAACCAGAATAAACAAGTGTTCGACGAAAACATTTAGGTATGCACACCAAGTGTTCGACGAAATTACCTTGGAGAAATTCCATATTGTGATGGAGAAGAGAGAGATAAGACAGAGGAGAAAGACGGTAAGATGGTAAGAAAAAAAAAGCAAAGAAGAGAGAGATAAGACAGAGGAGCAAGACGGAGAAGGAGAGTGAGAGAGGACGGAGAAGATGGAGAAGTAAATCAAACAATCTAACCTAATAGATCAATCGGAAATTGAGGAGAGGAGAGAGATACCTAGCTGGACTTGAGAGCGTTTTCTTCACCGACGAGTTGGAGATTACTGGAAACAAAAACAAGCTATCACTGGCGACCAGAAAGTTGACAATCGACGGTGGACCTGATGTCGATGCTTGCACTGTTGGAAGGGAAGAGAAGTGAATGAAGGAGAGACAGCCAAAAGAGAAAGGAGAAAGGAGAAAGGAGAACGAGGAGAAGGAGGCAAAGAGAAAGATGAGAGAATTAGGTTACAAAGAGATGATTTTTTGGGTGAAAGGGGGAAATATGTCTTAAGTGTTGGCGGTATAGTGAATTATTTTAGTTTAGTGTAGGCGGAATAAATGATTTCATATTCCCGCTTAGGGATTTTCTATCTTAGCGTTTACTAAAAGCTGTTATAGAAAAACAAAATTTACAACTCATCTTTGATAGCAGTTGGGAAAAATGAGCTATCTTCTTATGCTATTAATGTGGAATTTTCTTGTAGTGGAATCAGAAAAGAATTATGCTATGACAAAAATAAAAGATTGCAAGAGAAGTAAGCAAGTAAACAGGAAAATAAGTTAACAAAGTGAAGCGTTGAGCATTCAACGAGTTTGCAAGAGATTTATTAAAAGCTTCATTCTAGGACTCTAAGCTAATCGATCAGTTACTAAACAAATTCTAGAACTCGGTCAGAACAAAAATGAACTAAAGACTCACGGTTCGAATAGTCTAACTAATGTGTTACGTAACAATCGTTGGCAACGACACAACAAGACATTAATAATTGATTCGGTCCAATCGGTTTGAAAGATGCACCATAACTCCACTTTCATACGTTATTGGATCAAGCCCGTCTAAGTCTAGGTTTGGAGAAATAAATGTTTTTTAAAGCTTTTGGCGGGTCTACTTCTCCAGAGATCAGCAGATAGTGCATGAAACTACCCACATGCATTTAAATCAAGTATAGAACAGTGAATTCTTGGAAAAGCTATCCTAAAATCGCCACTTTAATTAATCGATCATGATCCTTAAATCACCCTTAAACCCAACTAATAAACTACTCAATCATAGCAAAGAAAACATTAAAGCATTAGAAGAGAATTGCATAGTCATAAGTCAAAATACGTATGAAAATAAAGAGGAGGGTTCATAGATTACTTCTCGATATCGAGTAAAAAGTTCTTCCCTTGAAAGCAAAAGCAAAAGCAAAAGTGTGGAGGCGAGTCGGAGGGCACTTGGGAGGATCATAGGTCTGTTATTCGTTTTTATCTCGCTCTCTTTGAAAATATTGTTAAGAATAAGTACATATAGTCTTCGAGGAGTCGATTTTAGATTTATGGATTCTATCGTCAAACCCCGTCATTTTCTCACAAGTTAACTCGAAAGGGTTTGGCCGCACCTACGGGCTTGGTGGCATAGTGGAAGAGAGCTTGGCCGCATCAAAAATGTTGAAGGAAACGGTAAACAAGAATTTGCCCGTGGCATGGTTCTCTTCAAGCGCGGTGGTGACATGGATGTGTCCATCGATGGTTTCGCGGTTTTGTCTGATTCTTCTTCAAGGTGATAGATGGTTCTTCTAGCTTTCAAATGACACCAAGAAAGTTAGATTTAGGGCACGGGAGGACTTTCAACATATGCCAAACTTCTTACAGTACGAAGCTGTCCTTGTAAGCCATATTGGCGCTCCTTTTATTGCCTAGCTTTTTCCTTAAAACACCTGTAAAGACTCTTCGATCTTCTAAAAAGTAAAAACTATAAGAAATACTTTGGAAACCTTTAAGACATGTCAAATAAAAATACTAGAATTCTGATAACAATATATATATATATATATATATAGTTTTTACTTAAATTGATTTAATTTTTTATTCTTGAAAATCAAACCTGTTTAACATGAACAAAGGAACAATCTTAGAGGACTCATAAATTGATAATTGTATTTATATTGTTAACATATCTTCCCGTATCTAATCCAAGTCATGAAACCTAATTGTTGGTTCGTTAACCGAAAATTTGTTCATCTCAATAAATGTATTGTTAACATGTTAAGTAGGTGCTTACTTTAGTCTTTTTATTTATCTATCAAACCGCTAGCCGTGTTTCGCTAACGATATTATCCTGATAACACCATGTATTATTCCCTACATATGACTCAGCCGCAAGTCAACATTTTTGCTCATCACGCTAAATATTTTGTTACCTTATTAATAATAATGTTATTATCTTCGCATATATAATCCAATCTTTGAAATCTAATTGTTGGTTTGATAACTGAAAATATGTTTATCTCGTTAGGTGTATTATTAACATGTTAAGTAGGTTCTTACTTAAGTCTTTTCATCCATCTATCAAACCTCCATCACTGTTTCGCTTACAATATTACCCTGATAATACGTTATCTGCTAACTATCCTGATGCATGTATTATTAATGAATTATTTTTTTGTCATATCAATTTTATTGTCTTGTAGGGGTAGTCTGTCATATCAATTTTGCATAAAGAAAAAAAGAGAACTAATTATCTTATTTGTATGTATAGACTTTTACTATCTTTGTCTTCTATGTATATATTTAACTAACCCCTTTTTTTTTTTCTATGAGCTTCCATCTGAATGAATACTCTTCCTTTAAGAAAAGAAAATATTCGAGCTATAATTGTTTTAATGGTCTTCTTTGGGTTATATCTATTTGGAAAAACAAATTTTAAGGTTTCTCTTAGTGGTAGCATTCAAATGAAATTTTGTGGAGGAGAGTTTGAGATAATGTGGATGTGGTCTTATCTCAAAATCTCCTCCACAATTCAATTAATCATTCCAATATTTTTCAAATAAATGTTTATGTCGTGGTTATTTTGTTAAGCAAGAACTTTTAAAAATAAAATACAAAAATAAGTATGCAAAAATTTTAAATTGCAAAATTAGTTTTGGTTTTTTTTTTTATTGTAAAAATACTTTAAATTAATTTTATGTTTCTTATTAATATGTGACTTTCAAATTTTTTAAATGGAAACCCAAGCTTCCAAAATGGAATCGTAAGCTTCTGACGAGCTTCCAAAATGGAATCGTAAGCTTCTGACGAGCTTCCAAAGTGAATTTTTTGGAAGTGTTATGGAAGCGAGATTCCAAAAGCTTCCAAGAGCTTCCGATTCCGACTAAGATTCTGAAGCGGGAAGCGGACCTTCGACGAAGCTTCCGTGCTTCCTAGGTACTAACTGTGTGATCAACTATTTGATTCCAATGAACATTATTTCTAAAATTTGCAGAAGACTCTCGATCAGTGGAGAATTGAATCAGTTGTGTTCTTGGCCCTTTTCAGTGGAGAAGAATCAAAGCAAGGGACCAAGGAAAAACAAAAACAAAGAAGTAACGCTTCTTATGAAACCAATAAAAGCAAAAGCCCCCAAACTTATATAGTTGATTTTTGTAATTGATTCGTCTACGTTAACTTCTCTTCTGACATATGTTTTTGTATTGTTCTTCATAATTACTTCTTTTTTTCTTGGCCTCTTGTAACTTATTTTTTTTTAGTGAATTGTTTTTTCTTGGCCTCTTCTCTCGTGACTTGTTTTCTTGTAGTCTTCTTAATTATGTCTTTTTTTCATGTGACACGTGTTTTTTGTACTGAATTATTGGCTCTCTTCTCTCGTGACTTGTTTTTTGTAGTCTTCTTCTTAATTATCTCTTTTTTTTTTCTTGGGACACATGTGCTTCTCTAATCCACTAACTCCTCACTAAATATCTCAATTCACCTAACTTGTCTCTAAGTTCATATAAGGTTGTATTCAGTTGTCAACAACAATCAAAGCAAGAGACGAAGAAAAACAGAGGAAAAAAAAAAAGATAATTCTTTTTGAGTTCTTGAAATACTTGTTTTATTTTGTGTTTTTACAATTTGAGAAAGGAAATGAAGCGAAAGTTCCATGCTTTTATGTTCCCCTGGTTTGCTTTTGGTCATATGATTCCTTTTCTACATCTTGCAAACAAACTAGCTGAGAAAGGTCACCGGGTTACTTTCTTGCTACCTAAGAAAGCTCAAAAACAGTTGGAACATCACAACTTGTTCCCAGACAGTATTGTCTTTCACCCTCTCACAATTCCTCCTGTCAATGGCCTCCCTGCTGGTGCCGAGACAACCTCGGATATCCCAATCTCGATGGACAACTTCTTGTCCGAAGCCTTGGATCTCACTCGCGATCAGGTTGAAGCTGCGGTTCGTGCTTTGAGACCGGACATGATCTTCTTCGATTTTGCTCAATGGGTTCCAGAAATGGCTAAAGAGCATATGATCAAGAGTGTGAGTTACATCATCGTATGTGCGACAACTATAGCTCATACACATGTCCCTGGTGGTAAATTAGGTGTTCCTCCATCAAGTTATCCTTCATCGAAGGTGTTCTTCCGTGAAAACGATGCTCATGCCTTAGCAACCTTGTCGATCTTTTACAAGAGACTTTATCATCAGATCACTACAGGTCTTAAGAACTGTGATGTCATTGCAATGAGGACCTGCAAAGAAATAGAAGGTAAGTTCTGCGACTATATATCGCGTCAATACCATAAGAAAGTTCTCTTGACTGGTCCAATGTTCCCTGAGCCAGACACAACTAAACCACTAGAAGAACACTGGAGTCATTTTCTAAGCGGGTTCACGCCCAAGTCAGTAGTGTTTTGTTCATTTGGCAGCCAAATCATTCTTGAAAAAGATCAATTCCAAGAACTCTGTTTAGGGATGGAGCTGACAGGTTTACCGTTTCTTGTAGCGGTTAAGCCACCGAGAGGATCATCAACGGTCCAAGAAGGGTTACCACAAGGGTTCGAGGAGCGAGTAAAAGGTCGTGGTGTGGTTTGGGGAGGGTGGGTACAACAACCATTGATATTGTCTCATCCATCAATAGGTTGCTTTGTGAACCATTGTGGTCCCGGAACAATATGGGAGTCTTTGGTGAGTGATTGCCAAATGGTTTTGATTCCATTTTTAAGTGATCAAGTTCTCTTCACAAGATTGATGACCGAGGAATTCGAGGTCTCTGTAGAAGTGTATAGGGAAAAAACAGGATGGTTTTCAAAGGAGAGCTTGAGCAATGCGATCAAGTCTGTGATGGATAAAGACAGTGACCTCGGGAAGCTAGTGAGGAGTAACCACACCAAGTTGAAGGAGATTTTGGTTAGTCCGGGATTATTGACCGGTTACGTGGATAACTTTGTAGAGGCATTGCAAGAGGATTTGATCTGATTATGTTGAAGATGTTGATGATAATAATTTTCAAAGTATAATTGAAAGGGGAAATAATATATTTGATATTATAATAAAATAATGAGTGATTAAGAGAGAGTTGAACAAAGTTATGGTTAAGAGAGTGTTGATTAAATTAGTGGTTAAGATTGTAAAATAGCTTAGGAAATATTTTTGTAACTTTGGGTCATCTAATTTGAAAAGAAAGGAGGATAAATAGAAGAACAATGACAAAGATTATTAATATGTAGTTTGAAAAACTATTGTATTCTTTGTCAATTGAATATGTTAATCTATTTTCTAATAGCAAATCTTGTAAATAAATTTAAAAGAAAGTTTTTTTTTTTTGATTTTTTTTTTTTTAAAATGCTATGCATTTGAAAAATCTCGTTCTACAGTTCGAAACCATCTTTCAGGGCTAAGATCTCAGACTTGTAAGCTAGAGAAAAGGGCGAGAAAGAATGAAATCTTTTTTTTTTTTTTTTTTAAACAACACATAGCTTCATTAATAAGACCAAGAAACCTTGGAACTGAACCAAATACAACAGTGCCTCCTATAGAGAGTAACACCTAACACAAAGAAAAAACAGAGCACATTAATGTTCAAATAGAGCTAGCCAAGATCCGAGGACAGATAGACCATTTGGTCTCACACGCTGAGCTCTCGCAACCGGATCCAAATGACAGCGGAAGATGCTTTTAATCTCACCAATCAAAGCAGTCCGAGGCCTCGAAACAGATACATGTAGTCTCGAATTTCTTTCTTTCCAAAGGCTGTAAACTGAGGCATGAAAGAATGACATCTTGCATTCGAGAGCGAGAATGTTCTAACATAAATTCTATTTAATGTGTGTGGTCTGCGATTATTGTGATACAATGCATACATAAATTTATATTTATTATTTTCTTTAATAATATAAAAAGTAATATTTTGAATCATTAGAAAGAAATCATTAAAACCAAAATCCACTATGGCGGGATTAAACGAAACAATCCTCTAAAACTAGGCTTAAAATAATTTTGATCTAAATAGACTTAAAAGGTTCATTGTACTAAATAAGCGGGCCTAAATGGACAGAGTCTGCCCATTTTAACTTCTTAAGACTCAGAAGTGGTTAGTGATTTTTTATACCAGAGTGGTTCTATCTTGGGGCAGTTTTGTTGTCACTATATTTGCAGATTCAATCGCTGCGACCTTAACATGTGGAAGAACTTACTAAAAGGTATGCTTTTTTTTCAAGCAAAACATGTGGTAGTTATGCTGAACTTGTTTAAAATTTTAAGACTAAAATTTGCGGTACTTTTGGTATCTTGTTGCAGAAACTTTGCAGATGCTAATTAGTTCTCATTCCTGTTCACAATAGCGAATATGAAGTAAACTGGAAACTTTGACTCAAACAAAAGAAAAAAGAAAATACACTAGAAGTTGTTAAGCATTCTTAGAAACGTTTTGATTCGGTTTATTTACTACACGAGTTTGAACTCTCTCTCTCTCGCCTCGCGCGCTCTCTATCTCTCTCAATGATAAGTTGTTCCGACAAATCCCATGCATCTTCTCGGAGTGTATAAACTGTCGGTCCAAGACCCCCTGCTAGATCAACGCCTAATGTAACTTCTACGAGCTGTTAGAATAAACCAATCGAAAGTACGTTTATCAATACAACTGAAAGCTCAACAACCTATGAGAGATTGTGTGTGAACTTACTTGGTCACAGACTTTTTCGACCCATTTCATACGGGTGTCCCAAGGGATGGCATGAGCATCTTCGCTACGTAATTTATGCATCAAATCTGTCACATCCCTACGAAGGGCTTTAATATCGTCAGGATTACCTGGTTTCCTGGGGAATATACCACTTCCCATTCCAAAAATAAACAAATACTTATTATATAATCACATTTAAATTCCCTTTTTCTTTCAGCGAACAAACAAAGACCAATAGAGGTATCCATATGCCAACAAAAGGTACCGTTCGCTTCTTACTTTTTTAGACCAGTGATAACAGAGCCCAAAGTTCCGAGCCTCTCCTTCGTTTTGCACACTAATGATGAGAAATCATTCTTCACTTGTGAAAATATAAAATCAAACATTCATCAATATTCTTATCGCAATGTGTGTTTAAAATCATACTAGCAAATGTAATTCTACTTACCGACAACTTCTCAAGTGTAAATTCTGATTCAAGATCAGAAGCTTTATTCTGATCCCCCAAAAACTGAGCAGAGGATATGGACTTGGCGTTTGGAAACTTCTTTCTTGCTTCATACGATTCCTCAACCTACCTAGTAATCAATTAGATAGAAGATACATTTTAATCTAAGACAGAACAAAAGAAAAACAACACGAGAATTACCTTAGTATTAAGCTTCCGTACACCAAGACCACCGATTGATCCTGTCCTTTTTTCACATATAGGTTTCATAAACGCTAGATCCGTAGGAATAGTGATATCGCCGGAATTTTCCCCGGGGGAGATTTCACTGCAGCGAAGACGTCGTGTTGGCGATGGTTTGGTCTCGTGGTTGTTATTTTCGCTTCCTCTCTTCATCACGTCTGTTTTGTTAACCCTAGGGGCATATTCATTTTTCCTAATATTTAGTAAAAAAATAGAATTATAGAATTAAGGAATAGCTGGTAAATTTTATATAATTATACCGTAGATTAGGGAATAATTTCCGGATGGTAAATAATAACTTAGATGGACATTTTTGATCAATAACATGCTTTTTCTAATTTTCCCTTAATAAAAAACTAACGATTAGGAATGTTCGTAACAGACTTGAATCATTCAATTCTTACCCCTACTCTCCTAAATTTCAGGTATGTTAAGGGTGTCAAGTTGGTTAAACCAAACCAAACCAATCCATATCGATATAAATTTAGTGACTAATGAATAATGAATCAATCCAATTCATTTAGCATTCATTTAGCAAATGGTTTGGATGAAACCATAACTTATTTGAATTGGATTGACTCATTATAAGTCAATCATTTGAATTGAATTGGACTAAATGAGTTTATCCATTTAATAATATTTTATAATCTAAATAATTATCATAATTAATAATTAATAACTACCATACTACAATCATCATCATCATACTACCATCATCATTCATGATCATCATCATCATCATCATACTACTACTACCATTATCATCATCATCATCATCATCATCATACCACCATCATCATCTCATAATCATCATCATCATCATCATCGCACAGTTCAATACAAGATTCTAGAATCAATGGTTTTTATACCAGATAAATCTTACTTTATGGATAAGTATGTGGGTACCAACCAATAAATATATGGAAAAAAAAAGACAACAAAGTTTGAGTCAAAAGAAACACAACATCATAGAGTTTGGAGAGTGGAAATGATACATCATCCTTCCTCTCTGTTATACACTACAAATCTAGCCAGTCGAAGATTACGAAATCTGAACATCACACACACTTTTTTTTTTTTTTTTTTTTTTTTTTTTTTTTTTTTTTTTTTTTTTTTTTTTTTTTTTTTTATATATATATATTATTAAATCTCAAAATTGGGTTTTGGCTGATGGGCCAAGAGAAATAAACGGGTTACAAAAAAGGAACGGCCCAAATCGGAAAAACACAGCGAAGTAAGATCTGAAGAAGGCAGTACACCGGAAAACACGATCCTCGCCTTCCATATCCGATGCTAACAAGAACGGTTCCTTTGCGGACAAGTCCTCGACATCGAGACATTGACCGGAGCTAGCAAATCCCGTCGCAACCTGTCGCCGAGAACAAACCGAACCTAGAACTTTCCTTTCGGGAAAGGTAGAACCGCCACAACCGAGACCCAGGACCTCTTCTCCCCGACCTAGTAAGAAGAGAGACATCACACACACTTGCTATGAACAAAGAAGAATTAAAGCAAAGGGCACACGAGATAACCTTAAAGGAAAATAATGCGTAAGTCAGTCATGAAAATGTAAACAAACATAGTCATTTTACCTATAAAATAACCAGTATAGTAGCCTAAGATATCAAAGTTATTAGAGTAATCAAATATGTACCGGTTTAGCATTGGTTTATATTGGTTTAGTCATTGTAAAATCAGTTGTATCGGCTATATAAGAGCCTCTCATGTAACAAGATTGGATTAAGAAGATTAACACAAATTCACGATTTTTCTTCTTCTTCGTTTATCACTTCTAACAAAAGTTACGATTAAATTTGCTTCTACATTCAGTCCCTCTTTCTACACGATAGTCTAAATAAAACCAAGCAGGAGAAAGTGATCGATACTTACTGCAATTATATACTCTTAGTACTGTCAAATGGGCTGTCCAACGCCCAATGGTCTTGTCCATTTGGTCCGTTTTTTTTTTGTGGGCTGTAATGGTCGGTTCTTTATGGACAATGGTCCAAAACCTCGCCCAAACCCAATAAGGACCATGTCCAATGGGCATGCCCATGGTCGCCCATCTTTTATTGTGTTGACAAAAGTCTTATATATGGTCAATACTCAAGTTTTTTTAATTGTATTAACTTATGTTTAATCTGATTGTTTTAATTTACGGTTTATACAACACAAAATAATACAACTAGTATCAAAATAATACAGCTATTGTGTCATCAAATTTGGAGGTTCTGGCTTAGAGTAGCAAAAACTGATAAAAGGGTAATCTAGTCTTGATTAGTAAAGTTAGAATAAGACCAAAATCTTCACCAGTATTAACTCACATGCAGCAATTGAATATGTTTACCAGTAAACTTAATGTAGCTCTAGCTTTGATATAACTTAATGTAGCTCTAGCTTTGATAAAAACTTAATGTAGCTCTAGCTTTGATGTAACTTAATGTTCTGCTAACACAAATGCACGATTAAGAGACTTGAATCCCAGCAAACCCACATCGTCAAATCCGAGCAAATGAATAAACCAAGACAAATGAATAAGCTCATGAATCTAAAAGCTTTGAGGAGAAGAATGAAGAACCAGTAGAAGAAACACAAAACTTAGAGAGAGAAACAAAGAGAAAAAACCCATCAAATCATTACCTGCAAGACAAAGAGACTACCCTTTTGCGAAAAAGACTTGCTTCGGAAAGGAAGTGGTAGAGATCGAGGAGCTATGAAGCAGATATATAAAGAGATGGAGATTAATATGAAGCAATTCGAGATGGAGCAGAGAGATGAAGAGATGGAGAGGTGAATTCGATGAAGAGAAGAAGTCGATAGAGAGCGGAGATGTGAAATGAGAAGAGAGTTAGGGATTTGGAAAATTTTCCCCAAATCTTAAAACCCTTGATTTTTACAAATTTGGGCAAGCCCAATGTCCATTTGGTCGCGCCCATTATGTCCGCGGACAAAACAAGTCGTAAGCCCAATTAGACCGTTTCGTTTTTGGTCTGGACCATAGCCCGCCCGCGTGCATTTGGACTGGGCAAGCCCGCGGGCGGCCCGCCCAATTGACACCTCTATATACTCTCTCGTTTGTTGCACAAATGAAACAATAGCAATGTATTAAGGGAAGAGGTCCTTTCCAATACTTCTTTCGAATAAAATTACTGAAAGAATCTGCAAATACAATTACCAGAGCCGGTCCTGGGCTAAAGACCATGATGCAAGGGTTTTAGGCGCCAAAAATATCCTATATATATTAGGGACATCATTTTAGTCTGGTAGTTGTTTCATGGTCTAGTGGTAAATATATTTTTCCCTTTTATTAGTCTAACTAGAATCGAAGAACAAGTCACACAAAAATTAAACAAATTCTCTAACAAGCCTCTTAATTTATGATGCATCTCCTAGTTGTAATTAACTTGCTGATGGGAACGTAGGTGATGAACTCTCTATTTTATGAGCTTAAGTTTCTTTCGTAAATGTCTTGAACGTATACACAAGACTATAGTCACAAATTTGGAAGAAAAATATAAAATCATTTGCTTATGAATTCTTAACTCACATGACTTAATTGCTCTCAAGTGAACTTGATATTTGCAAAGATGAACACAATCATGTAGTGTATTTGCAATAACAATAGAACATAGAAGTCTACTAGCTACCAATACTCACATTTATAAATATTGATAAAAATTATTCAAACATAGACTCAACTCAATTTTACCCGCATAATCCTACACTAGGAAACGAAAACAAACCTTAAGAATAACCAGAGTCGCGGTGGAGCCGGAGATTTGATCAGCAAGAGAGAAGAACGAGGCCTTTAAGTATCGAAGCTTCCGAAAACCCTTTAATGGCGAAGATAGATAGGTCGATGGTGAGAGAGATTGATGGTGGTGAGAGATCGATGAATGTGAGAGCTGTGAGGCTGTGAAAGAGAGACCCTAGATCGATGATGGTTAGAGAGTTACGAGAAATTCAGGTCTTGTTTTCGGTTTATCAAATCGGTTTAAACATTTAATTCGGTTAATTACACATTTGATTTGAAATGTTTAATTTCTATTGGTTTGGTTATGAGTAACCACTAATCTATTCTAATCAAAATCATTTCAATCCAATTCATTAAACTCATTAATCAATTAATCCATTAAGATCCAAATTTTTCATCCATTAATAGATCCATTATGTTGATTGGATTGGTTTGGATTGATCCATCAATTTTAATCTATTTTGACACCCCTAGGTATGTACAACTGAATTCTCTCATAAACAGAAAGATAAGAATCCTAAGAACAAGATTAGAAGATAGAACAGAGGAATTCATAAACAGAAATGGTTCCGTTTCGGTCACATGACTGCATTTTAAGAAACTATGTGACAAAATTACTTTCTTGCTCCCCAAGAAAGCTCTAAGCAACTTTAATCCTCCATCTCTTGCCGGACTGCCTTTCTTTCATGCTCTAATCATATCCCATATGGATGGCCTCCTTGCATCGGCTATATGGATCGGACACACAATCAGGGAGAAGAAGCGGTTTCTATAGGTTAACCGAATCTGATTTTCCTTTAATTATGCGCACTGGATTCCGGATATAGTTAGAGAGTATGGAGCCAAGAGTGTGAATTTCCGTAGCATGTGTAGCTATCTCGTTTAGTGAGAGGATCAATTCCAAGGAACTCTGTTTTGGGATGGAGCTGACAAGAACTCTCGGTTTCTTTTAGCAGTAAAGCTACCGAAAGGATCATTAACAGTCCAAGAAGGGTTCGAGGAGCGGGTGAAAGGCCGTGGTGTGGTATGGGGAGGATGGGTACATCAACCTTTGATATTGGCTCATCCATCAATAGGCTGCTTTGTGAACCATTGTGGTCCCGGAAAAATATGGGAGGCTTTGGTGAGTGATTGCCAAATGGTTTTGATTCCATTTTTAAGTGATCAACTACTCTCCACAAAATTGATGACCGAGGAATCCGAGGTCTCTGTAGAAGTGTATAGGGAAAAAACAGGATGGTTTTCAAAGGAGAGCTTGAGATATGCGATCAAGTCTGTGATGTATAAAGAGAGTGGCCTCGGGAAGCTAGTGAGGAGTAACCACACCAAGTTGAAGGAGATTTTAGTTAGTCCTGGATTATTGACCGGTTACGTGGATAACTTTGTTGAGGCATTGCAAGAGGATTTGATCTGATTATGTTGAAGATTGTTGATGATAATAATTTTCGTAGTATAATAAATTTGCAAGTAATGCATCTACGTAGCATAATTATCAAATTTATAGTGATATTAAATTAAATATGATGGTTTCCGTTTTTCTAGTAGACATTAAATTTAAATTATATAATTTTACAAATAATATTAAATTGGAAAAGTCAATGATATTATTTACCAAAAAAGAAATAATTCCAAAAATGAAATTTTTGTTTTATTTTAACAATAATCTATACTAGTATTTTTGAAATACATTTTTAGGCTTTTAGTGGGTGGGGCAAAATGCATTTGGATACCATAGGTATCCGACCTTTTTACAAATTTTGGTCCTAAAAACTTTTTTGGGTCGAGTTATATTTAACTCAACTTATACACTGGATATTCTATATTTAATAATTTAGATATTTAGAAAATTTGATTAAGATTTAGAATTATGATTCTCCAATCATCTTTGTTTGATTTGTTTTTAACTGTTTTGAATCATCATATAATACATCAAATTAAAAAACAAAATCAATTTTTTTTCTACATATATTGTGATTCGAAATTTTAAAAACGGACATACATTATCCAATTGACGAAATATATATGTTCAACGTTGTAACTCCTATCACTACTCATCCTATAAATACACATTTTCTCATTTTCTCATTCTCCCATTCTCTCATCCTCTTCCACTATATCTCAAATCTTTTTTTTTTTAATATTTTTTTTTTTTGTTGTGGTTGTTGTTGTATGGGCTAAAAAACTCAAATTAAATATCATTGTAAAAGCTAATTCTAAATTTTAATTTCTACATTAGTTTTTTGATTTTTTTAAAGATTCATCTCCATTTTCTATTTTAGATTATCATCTTATATGTAATCATTCTCTCATCCTCTCCTACTATATTCATGTATCTTTTTTGTTTTTGTTATATGGGTTGAAATCAATGAAAACATTATTGTAAGAATTTGATTCTAATTGTTTTCTCAATTTTTTTGTTCCTAACACCATACTAGATTATACCTATTTGTTCCTTATTTTTTTATATTTTTAATTTTAAATTAACATATATAAAATAAGTTTTGATGGCTATAACAAAACTTTTAGACACTACAAGAAAACAGGCGATTACCGACTACGATCGGCGACTAATTGTATAGTCGCTAAATTAGACGACTAATATACGACTATTATACGACTAATGTTACGACTACAATTATATAGTCGTCGTATTGTCGCTAATTAACGACTACATACTGTAGTCATTCTAATAGTCGTAAATTAGCGACTATTATACGACTACAATTAAAACCCCGAATATAGTCGTATTTTAGTCGCTAAATTAGCGACTATATTGAATGACTAATGACTGTAGTCGCTAAATTGGCGACTATATTGAATGACTAATGACTGTAGTCGCTAAATAGGCGACTATTTAGCGACTGATTCGGCGGGTCGCATAATAGTCGTTAAAAAGTCGGTAAATAGTCGTAAAATGCCGGTAAAAAACATGTTTTTTCATGAAGAGGTAGATGGGGTTGGTGTACCGGTTTTTGACGAGTAAAAGTAATAGTCGTATTTTAGTCGCTGTTTAGTCACCAAATTTGTCTATATAACAAAAATCACTCTCTCTTCTCTTCATTACAACAAACATAATCAACACTTAAAAGAAAAAAAAAACAGAGCGTTTATAAGAAAAAAAAACGTTTATAGTTATTTATTCTAGAGGAATGGCGGAAAATTACAATTATGGCGGTAATGACGGCGGTAATTATCGAGAGTGGATGTACAAGAGGTTCGATGAAGCAACGGGAAATTTTTCAAAAGAATTTGAAGCGGGTGTGGAGGAATTCTTGACGTTTGCAAATAGCCAGCCTATAGTCCAGAGTAATCGCGGTAATTCACTGTCCTTGTAGTGTTTGCAAGAACAAACATATCTCGGGTAGAAGAGTTATGAGTCATCTGTTTAGTCATGGATTTATGGTAGATTATTATGTTTGGTATAAACATGGAGAGGAACTCAATATGGATATAGGACCAAGTTACATTGATAGGACGTATGTAAGTGAGAATTATGAAGTAGGGGGTAATGTAGCAGAAGATCCATATGTGGATATGGTGAATGATGCATTTCGTTATAATGTGGGGGTTGATGATAACTATTATGAGGATGTTAGTTATCAGAATGTGGAAGAACCGGTACTAAACCATTCGAAGAAATTCTACGACTTGTTAGAAGGTGCAAAAAATCCATTATACGATGGTTGTGGTGAAGGCCAGTCGCAGTTATCGTTAGCTGCTCGAGTCATGCAAAACAAAGCGGATCATAATATGAGTGAAAAATGTGTGGATTCGGTTTGCCAAATGTTGACTGATTTTTTATCAGAAGGAAACCAGGCAACCAGTTCGCATTACCATACCGAGAAATTGATGCGCAATTTAGGTCTTCCTTATCATACAATTGATGTTTGTATGAACAATTGTATGTTTTTCTGGAAAGAAAATGAAAAGGAAGATCAATGTCGGTTTTGTGGTGCACAAAGATGGAAGCCTAAGGATGACCGTCGAAGAACCAAAGTATCATATAGTCGTATGTGGTATCTACCTATTGGTGACCGATTGAAGAGAATGTATCAGAGCCACAAGACAGCAGCGGCAATGCGATGGCATGCAGAGCATCAATCAAAGGAGGGAGAAATGAATCATCCTTCTGATGCGGCCGAGTGGAAATATTTCCAAGAGCAACATCCCTGTGGATGTCGGATTCACACACTCAAGTATTCTATTAGGTGGGAAAGATTATTCTTGAGGGACAAAAATGAATGTATAAAAACTTGTGAATTGTTACGAAAATTGCTATATTCTTTATCTCT